GGTAGATCTGGGAATCATCTGCATAAAGGTGATGGGAACAATGGAGAATTGATTTAGGTAGGTCGTTAATGTAGGAGCTGAAAAGGAGAGGAGATATGCTTGAACCCTGGGCAACTCCAGAGGATAAAGAAAGGAAAGCAGATAGTGGTTGGTTGGGTATGGAGACTGCTTGGGTGCGTTGGGAGAGGAAAGATTGAAACCAAGAGATGGAACTATTGGAGAAAGATAATGATTTTAGTTTGTTGAAGAGGATGGAATGGTTGATGGAATCGAAAGCTTTGGAGAAGTCTAGAAAAATAAGGACAGTTAATTTTCTATCATCTATTGCAGATTGAATGTCGTTGGTAATTTTAATTAAGGCAGATTGTGTGGAATAGCCGGGACGGAAACCAGATTGGAGAGGATCAAATTGGTTGGACTTTTCGAGGAACTTGGAGACTTGGGATTGCATCAGTCTTTCAAGAGGCTTAGAGAGGTTAGAAAGAATTGAAATTGGACGGAAATCTTCGGGTGAGGATGGATTAGGCTTTTTATTTAAAGGAAGGACAATGGCTTTTTTCCAAGAGGTAGGGAATACTGAATTCTGAAGGGAGAAATTGTAGATAAAAAGGAGAGCTGGGAGGATTTCAGGTAGACATATTTTTATTAATTTGACATGAATGCCGTCTGGCCCTATGGAATTGGTGTGGGATTTCATTACCGCGGTTAACAGGTCTGTGAGAGAAATGTCGGAAAAATAAAAGTTATTGTCGTTAAAGGATATCTCTGGAGCAAAGCCAGAAGAGGAATGTAGAGAAGAGGTATTAGCGACAGATATAAAATAGGAGTTTAAATCATCGGAGGATACAGGATAGGCTGCGCTAGGGGATCTGGAAGGATTACCAATGGAAAGTTTACGAAGCAGTAGCCATTTCGATTTGATATCAGGAGCTGAGGAAAGGGTTTCATGGAAGTAGGAAGCTTTCGCACGCCGGATCCTTGTCTGTGCCAAGTTGCGAAGCACCCTAACTTACGGACTATGTCTTGAAAACAAGAGATTCAAGATCATAGTTAGTTATAAAAATGAATATATATATTTATATATATATATATATATATATATATATATATATATATATATATATATATATATATATATATTCATTTTATAGCATCTTGAATTTTTTGTTTTCATCATAAACTTAAACAGACATACAATAAATGTTGAGTCCTCTAACATTGTATTTGGCTTTATTTATTTTTTATGTGCCTCACGCTTGATTTATATATGTAAGGTAACTGTATAAACAGTAGGAAATAAAAATAATAGTATTTATAAGTTTATTTCACTATTTGACATTGATGAAAATTATAATTTAATATGTATGTGTTTGATAGATAAGTACAGAAAGGTTACAAGATACGTGTCATAAAATATGCTTATTTTTCGTATCATCAATTAATAAAACAAACCAACATCTTAAATATAATATTAGTACATAATATGTAATAAATTATTACTTTCATTTTGCTTCCTAGTTTAAGATATTTTGTTCAGTAGTATAACATTCTGTCACAATCAAGACAATAATTTTAATAATAAAAGAGTTCATACACACAATATTTATAAAAAATATTAATAAATGTAATACAATTATTGCTGAATAATAATATTGAATATATATATATATAATAAAAACAAATAAACTTTTCATTAAATTAAAGTAAAATAACAACTTAAACACAAAAATTCTTTGTATATACTACTTTCACATTAAGAAAATTTATACAAATGGTCTAAACAAGACTTTTAAAATGACAATATGTAAAACTTTCAATCTCTTATTTACTTTGAAACCAAACCCATTCTACAGATTTACTCATCGCATCCTGTTCAGAGAGCACAATCACATTCTATCAACAATAAATAATAAGCGAAAATAATAATACTAAAAGCAAATTTATATAAATAAAAAAGAGCACAATCACACTATATAATAACCAATAAAAATATATATTTTTTTAAATCTGTTTACAGTTGATTGAGCTACACTAAATTCATTTAAATAATCTCTTGTCAAAAGTTTTTTTTTATTTTTTTTAAGCAATGGATACTCATTTTTCTCTCAAGTTCTAAGATAATTTTATAAAATTGATTATTGAAATAAAACTAAGGTGTGTACTTTAGATACAAAATACAAATTATAAATAATAGATCAACATTTCCCTCGCTTACAGCGTGCAGGTCCGATTTCTCAGTTGCTCAGAATTTCAAGCCAAATCTAATGGCTCAATCTAATACTCCAAATAAAAAGTGCAAAACGCGCCTAAAGAAAATTTCATTTTAAAAATGGTTTCATAAAATTCAATTCATGATAAACTATAAATAGTGTTTAGAAATTATTTTAGATGAGTCAATAAAATTAAGAGGTACAGCCTATATAATTTTGTGATATAGTATTAAAAAATATTCTAAGAAAGTGGTAGTTTTTATTTGATTAGGTAGTGGCTCAACATATTTGTTTTTTATTTTTTTATTTTTTGACAACATGTCATACAGATAAGTTACAAGTTTATCATTGTAGTAACCTTAAACTTGACATAATAGTGGTTTGAATACTACTTAGAAAATTGAAATTAATTTTAATTGAAATTAATTTTTCATTTAACACTTAAACTATCCAAATGAGTTTGTTTTACTACATTTAAAGCTGCTCCTTCATCCATCATTATCATTATCACAATCTTAAATTCCCTTTTATAGATTCTGGACATTCCAGGTCCTTGCTCTCTAAACAATTCTCCTGTCTTGTTCCAATCCATATCACGCCTGTCGTATACTGTCCTCCCAGGGGATGCGTAGTCTTCCCCTCGAGGTCTCCTTCCCTCCACACTGGTCTTGCAGGTCTTCTTGGCGGTTCTTTCATGATTCATCCTACTGAAAGGTCCGAACCTTAGCTTGTGCTTCTCCAAGATAGTCTCGACCGATTTAACTTCGATTCTATCACGTCTTATTACTATAATAGTTAAGTATCACTTCCTTCCACTTAACGAAGTTAGCGCATCTCCATGAATTCGGCTTTTGTGTTTTGAAGTGAGGTTCCACAATTCGAACGAGTACGAAAGGATAAGGAGCAATGTCGATTTATAGACAGACATATTTGTTTTCTTTGTGAACTCTCTTTTCCACAGAAAGTTCTTCTGAAATGAACAGAATACTCTTCCAACTGTTCCGATTCTCCGAGTTACTTCCTCATCGATGTAACCGCTTTATTTGAGCTTAGTTATTTGAGCTTAATAACTCCAGATATTAGTTATTATTCACATATGCCAACATTAACTAAACAAAATAGAAACAAATATAAACAGCATAGTTCTTTAAAATAATTAACGGCGAGAGGTTATTACTTAATTATTTGAGAGTTTAAAATAGATTAATTTTAAATTGAAGAATAATTACACTAATCTTAATATTCCTCCCTTTTAGTTAACCCTCTTCCTCCTATTTTTGAGTTGGCTTCTCCTTGAGGTGTTTCTATAATATGATATAATAATTCTATAATACAATATTATAATTCTATAATATAATATTATAATTCTATAATATAATTATAATATAAGTATTTGAATTTATAAAAGACATTTTTTTCCACCTAATTTGATTACATCTAAAGCCGCTAATGACCCTCTCGGGTAGATGCGGAATGTAACAATAAATAAATAAATATAATATAATTAAATCTGGCATTATATTTTCTCGCTATCACACCGGACTGTCATTTGTGCCTAGTAATTTTTAATTTAAATTATTGTTTGTTACTGAAACTACAATTTCAGTAACTAGGATAGCATTTTTATTATACAGGTAATTATTTGAGCCTGCATTAATCAAAATATATTGATTTAACTAGAATAAAGAAATTATGATCATTGATGATTTAACTGTTAAAATTTCAAGTTTAGAATTTCTTTTCAAAATATTTTACAAAGAATTAATTTATTTTTGTATGTATAATACTTGAATTATATATTATTATGTTTTATAAAAATATGGATTACATATTATAATAAATTTCTTATTATATATAAGAAAACATAATATGCTGTCATCATTACAATACATCCAGATAGAACCATCTGGCAAAAAAAAGTTGATATCATTATTTTAAATAATTTAGTTTTAGATTAATAGATAATAACACCTTGACTTATTAATATTTAACCATAGGTTTTTTGTTTTGTTTTTTTAAATAATTCGTTAGAGCCTATGTAAAAACAATTTAGACAATTTCACTTGTGCCAATATATAACTTGTGAATTTCATTTGAATTTATGATATTCACATAATAATAAAATTAATTAAAACTCTTAACCCAACACTATTATTTTAATTTCAATAAAAGGGAATTTCTGTTTTTTTTTTATTAATACATGTTTAGGATATTTGGAGAGAGATTTGTGCTATTAAAACTTTGAAAGCTTTTTTTTATTTAAATTTTTACCTTTCAGAATAATTGTATTACATGAAGAAAAGTCTTAAAGCAAAGATTTATTATCGCATCTGATACTTCGTAAAAATTTAGAAAAAGATAATAAATTTTGAAGCCTGCAGCAAAAAAAAAAATACAGTTTTGTTTAATTATACTAATTTTACATGTTTTCATATTTATGGATCCACTTAATATATTAAAAATTGCGACGGGTGGCTGTTGAGTTGAATGGACGCTAGATAAATTTATTGCAGTATTGTATTATTTATTGTGCATGTTATTATTAAGTATAATTGCAGTCCATATTCTTTCATTTTTTATGATTATATAATAGTTCTCGTCAATTGATTTCTCATTGTGTTTTACTTCATATGGCAACATTTTCAGTAAAACTAACCAGGTCAAATTTGTTGTTTTCTATTCTTATGGCTTAAATTTTTGGATATTCAAAAATAATATTCTAGATAACTTTTAATTATTTTATTATAAACGTATAAAAAAAAGAGTTATATACAGGATTGATGGTCATTGTTAGTAGTGATAGTTGGAGGATGAGGAGGCACCGCTACCACTGCCGTATCCACCAGAGCTGCCGTGGTATTGCTTGAAGAAGGTCTCCTTAGATCCTTCGATGTGAGGATGTACTGCATGTCCTTTCCTCTCTACGATGGCGTTGAAACCATTGTGCTTGTCAGAGGTGTAGTGGACGATCCTCTCGGTACCATCAGGTTCGTGAAGAGAATAGTAGCCCTTGACCACGTCTCCTTCCCTGGTCTCTTCCTGCTTCTTCACGTCGTAGGTGTGTGAGTCGTGTACTCCGTAGTCGAATTTGTAGTGTGGAGGTGCCTATAAGAAAACAAAATGTTTATTACTTAATTCGACTTATTTTAAGTATTCGGATGCGCACGAATTGCAAGATAAAATTATTACGTAGTAATCAACATGATGCTCCTCGTGTCCTTGGTAGTGACCGTACTGTGCCAAAGAGGCCCCGACGAGGCAAAGGAAAACTGCTAGCTGAAAAATAAATATACATTTAAAAATATATAGTAAATGTGGATTTAAATATTTAAAAGCTGCTATCAAGAACTTTTTTTTGGTATTAATTATAAAAACTCAAGTTGCTGGACTGGTACCTTGTACATGTTGACTGGTTTGCTGGACTGTTTCGTCTTGCATTCCTGCTCCTCGGTGGCTCTTTTATATTCGATGCATTCTGCCCCTACTCATTCGCTAATTAAATATTTCTTTATCGCAACTGGTTTCTTCCTGGAGTTAAGTAATTTCATAACGCCCCAAGGACAGTCGGTTTAGTATTTTTAGTCATATTTAGTAACCTCCGCCCGTATAAATTTAGTGTATAATTTTTATGTTTAGTTTGTTAAAAATTTACTAACGATTTCATATTAATGTTCACGAACACTTAAATAAGTTCACTTATAAACGCCATTGCCACAGCTGACATGTTTTGAGATCGGTTATTATTAAAACATTTCCCATAGTTTATAATCAGTATTTTAAAGCAAATATTTGTTTGCTTATTTTTTTCTTTTGATTCACATATTATATTTCATTAAATCTTTTTTTTGTTGAAAATTTTTATTGTACACCATCCTAGATAAAAAAAAAAAATCTTTAACAATAACAACCCATGCAGTGTCTTCTTGGGTTCAGAACCATGTGAGAAAGTACTGTTACTAGGCCAATGGTTGTGCAGGGAGATGGTCGGGCCGAGATCACGATCAATCGTCAGGTTTTTCCCCTAAATTAATAATTTAATTAAGAGTACTCACTTTATAGAGGCTGGGTTTGCCCCAGAAGGATCTCTCGGCCCCAGGGTCGATCTACATCTGATGAAAAATTACTAGTCATCCGGATTTGAAAAAAAAAATAAGAAAAGCGGCAACACAGTTTCATTTATAAATGTATGGAAAACGAATTTTCCTTCATCTGGTTAACTATTATCACTAGGATTGCAGTTTTTTTTTTCAGTTTCTTTTGTTTAATGAATGTTTAGTACCTCACTGTGTGTATAGTGATTTTTGTACTAACAAAGAAATTTAGATTTCCTTCAGATTTAAAAAGAATCTGTTTCATCATCCAGTTCCCAAAGAGAATCATAATTATACTTTTCCTGTTATTAATTTTTTGTCTATATTTTCTCAATCTATGGAATCTATTTTATTAATTTATCATAGAGATCAACCTGTAGAATAGTTCAACTGTTGTCAGCAACATTTTCTGTTTGGTGTGACTCTATTACCGGAAATTGGTGAAAAATAGTATGTTAAAATTATATTTGATTTTTTTTATCAATGTATGGTGAATAAATTAAATAAACAATTTTATGTATTTTGATGTTTTACCCAAAATCCGCTGTAAAACACGGTACCATATGTACACGGCATACAAAGGGATCTGTAGGTGAAGTCCTAAATTTTAGAAAAATATTATTTTTTTTTTGTACTTAGTAGCCTAAAATCATATTTTATTTTAAAAATCAAATTTATTCAAAAGATAATCAAGATTGATCATCGGAACTAAATGATTAATCTATGATAATTGAACCCCTAAAGGTTTTATTAGAAAGTACTATTTACTTGGATTAGACGGACCGCTATACGGCAAAGCAGTACTGTCATGCGGGTTTTCTACATTGTATTTTTACGGCGCAATGTATATTTCTCATTTATTAAACACCATGAATATGTTTATAGGCGAAGGAAGCATAAACAATTTAAACTTTCATTGTTTATAGTTTGTATAATAATATTGTTAAGTATTTTACAAATGGAAAAATCCCAACTACTAATTACGATCCTCCACCATACAGATGAATAGTCAACTTGCCAACGTTTCGCCAATTCAGGTATCACCAGGCCCGAAAAAAAGATCAAAGAAATTATAAAACAAAACAGAAAACAAAAAAAAATGTTGCTGTAAACATTTCACGAATCCATCCAAATACATACTGAAGCAAAGGGAAGGTTCTATTAACGTTTGATTATTGAATGTATGTATTGAATAATGTATGTACTTCTTCTAATCAGCTGTTCAATATATCCGTTCTTATATGTGTTAGTAGAATCGTACATCTCTTTAAAAATGTAGAATGTAGAATCTCTTTCCTTCAGTATTTATTTAGATGTTTTTCTGAGATGGCGACAATAACCATTTTTTTTTTTCATTTTTGTTTTTTCTGTCTTCATATAAGTTATTTTGGTTTTTCTCTCCTGATGATGCTTGAATTGACAAATCGTTGTTAAGTTAACTATTGTATGTTGGGGACTAATACAGACTTTGTAGTTTGGATTTTTATCATTTATAACATATTTACCTTACGCCTCTTTTCTAGATTTAGGCTTATTTTCGTAATATAGTTAAGGGTGAGGAATTGAAAGAGTGTTATATTTGCCAATATATTTAGTTAAATATAGTCAAATCCAGTAATACATCAAAACTAAGGAGACTAAAGTGTGAGACTCTCTACAGTAACTCAGTTTTAATTTATTATAACAAAGCAAATGTACTTTAGTAATATATTTATATTACTACGTACAATATCTTAGAACATACTATACATTTATTATTTAATTATTTAAGGAAAATTATATTAAGTAAAATATATTTGTAAATAATTTACACATAGTATTAAAATACATTTACAGAGCATAACAGGAAGCAATACTCCACTATCAATCTCATATGCAAGCTCAATAAATCATAATAAAAATATTATAAATTCATCTAATAGTAAAATATTATAAAATTTAAATGAAGATAATTTATTAGTCCCTAGAAACATTTTGTGACATTGATTCAAAACATTGCAGCATTATAGGTTCATCTGTTATATTTACTTCCAATTATAGTGAATTTTGCTTGGGTCAATATCCTAATAATTCCAATCTTCCTTATAATATCCTTTCTTAAACACATTTATTTGAATTAAAATTTAAAACACTTATCTTATCAAAATACTTATAAATAATAAAAGATCAAGTTTCTAAACTCAGGGATGAGCTCATCGATGGAAACCACTGGTAACCGTATCTATAGCTATCGATTAAATCACCGATGACCTATCGGGTCCATGGATTAATAGATCTAAAATATGTAATCTCAATTTTTATCTCCATTTTTACAATCAAGAATACAATCAGTAGGTATCATTTAATCTTTTTTTTTACATCTGAATTCGATTCACATTATATTATATACCACGGGTTGAAACTTTTATGGGCTTTTAAAAAAATTCCATTTTAACAGTTTCTGTGAAGTTTTTTAGGAAGGAGTTCTAACTTACTTATTTGTAATAAAGTTCCATTTTATGGTAAAGTTTAATTTTTCTTAATTCAAGTTCCTGAAAAAATATCCATTTAATGAAAAAGAAACAGTAATTGGGCTTAGATTAGAGATTTGATTTATCTTAAATGGGTTACACGATTCTAATAGGTAGTTTGTTTGAGTTACTGTGAGCAAAAATATTTTTTTAGATCTACATTTTAGTGAAATCGACAGAACTTTTAAATAAAAGTTTTCTACAAATAAAAATTCTGTAAAAGCTTTTCTTAAAAAGTTGCAAGGGAAAAGTTCTAGTTCCAAAAGAACTGAAAAACTATCAGCAATAAAAATTTCGATGATACCGAAACATTTTTAATTTTTTTTTTTTTCGTTTGAAACCCTATTATATACCTTAACCCATTCAAAAGTGATTCAGACTGTCATCTATAGGAGAATAACTGAAGTTAATAAAACCCCGAAACATACTGAGATCCTCACATTCATCTCAAACAGTTACAAATAAAGTAAAGAAGAGAAAAAAATCGTTTCTCTTTTTTTTTTTTTTTTTTTTTTTTTTTTTTGTAGGCATTTGAACCAACAGTTCAAAGCACCACCAACAGTTTAAAAAAAGACTATATAATTAAAAATAACACATCACTTCAAGATTATTCTACAGGAGACATTCTGCCTTGGAATGAAATAATTCTCTAATTTGTTAGTCACATGGAAAATAAGCTCTCCGATCTGCTTTTATATGACTTTGTTTAAATTTTCAACACATTGATTGCTATGTTTATACTTACATTGCATTCTTACAATCCATTCACTCTCAATTTTTTTGAGATAATCACCTTTTCTTCTATAACCTATAGTGGTAGTTGAGGTTCAACATGTAACATTTGACATCAAATAATTCTTAAGACAATATTACACAATCGTTTGCTAGTGAATTACTTTGATAAGAGTAATATTTGAGGGATTTTGTCTTTGCCTTGTTTGTCTCTTGGAATCTCTTATTTTATTCTTTTAAATTTTACATGATACTTTTTTAAAAAACACATCATTCTTATAGTATACAGGTAGGAATATAACATTTTTGAGATGGATAATTGTTTTTTCATTTTTATTTTTTACTCACAACTACCATAAAAAATATTTTGGTGTTCTTAGCAATTTTTAATGATAAATGTGATGTAAAGTGTCCATCGGTACCTCTTTCTTTCTTTATTTTATTATTTATGGTATGTGAGGAAATCTCTGGTTCAGCTTGTTTTGAGCCTCCTCTTATGGGTAGTGGGTATGCCTTTAATTAGTGTGTTATTATGTGAAGGTAATGTTGGTATGTAAAATAATGTTTGTGACGTATCAGGGAGATTTATTTATAATCTTACATGTTGTTCCCTGAAAACTTTGAAGTTTATCTGTGTAGAGTACGTTAAAATTGTTTAGGTAAGCAAGCGTAAATGATCTATTTTTTTTTTAATGTTAGTAAACCGGTTAAACATTTAACTCACTTTCAACCAAAGCTCCGTCGTACGTCACCAACATTACTTTACATGTCAACAGTCAACGACCACATATGAACACGTCACATATATTTCATGATAACTTACACATACAATAAGGATGCTCTGAGGAAGTTGAATAAGAAATCTTTTCACTTAAATATAAATACTAAAATCAAGATAGGAAGATGTTCCGTTGAGAATTCCTTTCCCACACGTTTATCAATATCTTAATACTATTGTACTTGCTTACAGCATATTCGATGGTTGTCAGTATTTCTGACCTGAGTTTGTGGTGAAATAAAGTATACAAATAAATGTATATCACTTTTACATAAAAACAAATGGGTACAGTTTTACTCCTCTTAATGTTTCATTTTTCATCAAGGGGTTGAAAGAAAAGTTATATAAATAAAAAAATATAAAATGTATTGACATGGGATAAAAAATATTTATATCACAATTTGTTGATGAAGGTAGAGATGGCTTAGAAGTGATGAGAGACTTCGTGGGTGATATCAGATCCTTGGTGCTCTTCGACGTGTGGATGGATCTGCTTCCCGTTCTGGGTGACGACCGCTTGGAAGCCGTTCTTGTGGTCCGCTGTGTAGTGTACCTCTCTCAGGGACCCGTCGGCCTCCTTCAGCGAGTAGTAGCCTTTGACCGTGTCACCGTCCCTCGACTCGTGGTGGGACTTGAAGTCGTCGGTGTGGGGGTCGTGGACTGAGTACTTGAAGTGGTAGTTAGGGTGGCTGTCCTAGAACCGGTGTAACTTAGGTTAAACTCAAATTGGAGTGAATATGCAATGAAGGGGTACAAGAGTTCATGCGCACAATATATACAAAAAACAGGAAAATAATCATAAATCATAAATAAATTAATAAAATAAAATAAAAAATTATAAATAAATAAAAGTAAACTTCTTATACACATTTATTCAATATTTACATTCGACCAGAGAACACCGGGCCAAGCTTCGTCCAAATGGGGAAAACAAAGATTGACTGAGAAGATCCCAGTGCTTCTCTTCCATCTGCGGACAGGAAGAGGGCACTGGTAACTTCTAAAATTAGAGTTGAAAAAATATACTTACATGTTCTTCCCCTCCATCGTGCTCATAGCCTCCATAGCCATGTTCGAATCCTACGCTTTCATGACCACCTTCGTACGCTTCACCTCCTGAAAGGTATTCGTGGCCAGCACCTTCCGAGAGATATCCGTGGCCCTCGAACTCAGCTCTGGAGATGGCCACGATAGTGGCAACCCCGAGGACAATGATTCCCTTAAAAATAATTATTATTTTAATTAAAACGTTTTGCTTTTGTAATGAATTATTTTTTATAGTGTTCTATTTTGACATAAAACTGCTTTATACTATCTTCTGACACTCATCTTATTCCTAAAATTCTGGTATACTAGATTACATCTTATATATTCGACTCTCCTTCAAATCATCAGATACACACACCGGTAATAGTATATGTTGGTTAAAATTAACCAAATAATTAATAATAACTAGAAATATAGTAATGAATAAAAAAACGGTTTGATGGAAAAAGAAAGTTTTTACTTGTTCTTCTTTTATAGTTTCAGTCATTTTTTGACAATATTTAAAGAAAATATGAATTTCAATAAATGTTCTATTATGTATATATAAATATATATGATCTATTATACAAGAAACCGTCTGGTTCTACAGATAGGATCTAAAACATCAAGAAGCTAACTGCGTAATTGTTTAAAGTTTATAATATTGGGATTTAAAAAAAAAATTACAACCTAAATAATCTTTTTTTATTTTATTTTATTCAGTAATATACTGTAATTTGGCCAAAGATGGAGATACTTAAATTTTATATATGTATATATATATATATATATATATATATATATATATATATATATATATATATATATATATATATATATATATATATATATATATATATGATGTTAGATTAAATCATGTTAATATGGACAATCTAAGTTAAAGAACAAAATATATCAATTTGATGATTAGCTGTATTATTTTATTTATCGGTTAAAAAAATTAATAATAATTTATAAAAATGTTGTGAATAATTATTATGAGTATTTCGGGTTATTGTATAACTAATATCTAATATTTAAAAGCAAATATAAATTAATGAGAGATAAAACTTTAAAAAAAGAAAAGAAAAAAAATTACTGTTTAATTATCAATAGAATTACTTTTAAATATCATCATCCATTTTCATTCAGAAAAATAATTAAACAGGTATTAAAAAAATTCAATACAAGTTTATTTTAAAAATACACATAATTTTATAATATTACTCCAATTATTTTATGCTACCCTTCTGAAGACGATCGACATAAAAAATTCTAAAGTAATTCGAAAATAATAATAATAATAATATATATATATATATGTGTGTGTGTGTGTAAATAAGTTACTCAAAAATATTGTTCAGAGTAAAAGAAATATTTTAAAAATTACAATTTTATCAGTAAGAAATAGATAATGTCGTTAATATTTACAACATCGTTTTGTTGCATCAAAATCTCAAAAATATTTACTTGTTTGTACCTACAAGGTACTAGGTTGGTAAAGTACACACACATGGACTAGTGGATCCAGGATTTAATTTTTTTGGGGGCTTCAACCCGAAAGATTTTTTTTCATATATATAACGATATCTACTTTGGAAAAAGTAAAAAAGACAGATACTAACTACCTATATGAAATGGTGTTTAAGTGATTCCTAAAGTCCTTTTAAATGTAATTACACGAACAATAATACTCTAAGTATAATACTTTTGCACACATGTACAAATTTTATTAATACTGTTTATTCACGATTTTATGACAAATTATAAAATTCTTACTGAAAAGTATCTGGATGTGTGTTCTACTCAAACATTTCAAATTTAATTTTAGTAGGAGGTACCGTTGTATATAGCTCTTCTACTTACTCAATAAGGCAAGTATAGTTGTGAACAAATTCACTGATTTTCTTTCTTTTTTATGACCGGCGCGAATTTGAAAAATGTTAATGTACAAAAATAACGATATATTAAATATAACTAGTTAATAATCGCAACGTTTTTTTTAAACGTACACTGACCACTATAGTTGTTAAGAGGTGTATGTTGTTGGTTACCTGTAAACTGTTCATGAGGACGGCTGGACTGTGTGTGCTGCCATGCAAGGTTCGCCCCAGCTTTTTATACATCATTCTGTGTTTCGCAGCATGGAGATACAGTCCAGTTCCTGAAGAGCCCAAAGAAGGTGAAAACACGTATTAATTAGACGTGGTGCAGTGAGCCTGATGTAAATCCTGTTAACACCAGGTCCATCAGTGGTAACTGCTTAAATCTACATTCGGTTAGCATTGCATTCGACCAATGACTTCTTGATGGCGTGGAGTTCCGCTCCGGCACCGCACAACATGAGTAAAGCCTGTTGGCTCTTTATTGAATTACAACTGAGTTACGTAACGACTGCCGGTAGTCGTCCGCAATAACTCTGTCTTTACGGTGTTTTTGTTTCTTACGTACATGTTATGCTGTTGTCAGGTCCACTCGTGCTATAACCTGTAATATTTGACACCTAATAACACCAAAATATAAAAAAAAAATTTAAGATATTTTTATTGAGAAACATTATATTTTGCTACGCTACACGGGCACTGATTACTAAAGCTGAGTGAGGTATATTCATACCATATATACAATAGAATAAAAGAAATATATAACAAGGCAAAAACTATAAAATCAAAGAAATGTATTTTTAAAAACGCTGCAAATTATTCCACAATGGTTTATTATTTCCAAACTATTATACTTCTAAAGTAACATTCCCTTCCTAGTTACAAATAATAAAATTAATAAAAGATTATTCCAATCATTGGACTAAACTTTTTTTTTTAATCATTAGTAATATGCTAAAAAAATAGCACATTATAGCAATAACACATTCAAAATTTAAAAACCAAACAAAGGATATAAAACATTGAGAGTAGAACATATAAAAAAACCAGGAGAACATATATTTGCTCCTAATTGTCCGATTTTGACGATTCTTTTTTTGGTTTTTAGAAAATTTCGTAAACCACGCGTACGACGTACGGTGGACGGCGGACGGACAACAAAATTTTTATTCGTTTTTCGAATTCTACGCATTCTGAAACATGAAACCTCAAAATTTGGGAGGGGTTTAAGTTTTTGAATTTGGTCGATCACAATGCTTGGTTATTGAAAATAATAAACCAAAAATATTTAAAAATCACGATATCTCTACTAATAGTGCTTTGATTTCGATGAAACTTCCTTCATTTTTTAGGAAATTTAAATACCTTCGAAACATTTTATTACACTATCGACAAAAAAGTGTAAACTTTTTGAGTTATTCGGAATTTAATTTTACCATCCCTCGTAACTTTTTTTTCAGATTCTTTTCGTTGAAGTATGTTATATAGATATATTTGAAGGGCGTAGAGAAAATGACTTTAGCGAAGTCTCATTGAAATCGGTGCATTCGTTTAGGCGCTACTGTCTATAGCCCCGCAGGTTTTTCGGCCGCAGGTTTTTTTTTATAATAATTTGGATGAAGGAGGATCATCCTCGGGTGACCTCTTATTTTATATCCAAATTAGAGAAGAATCGGTCCAGTAGTTTCGGAGAAAATGCGCGTACGGCGGACGGCCAAAAAAAAATTGTATTCCTTTTGCGAATTCTACGCATCCTGAAACGTGAAACCTCAAAACTTGAGAGGGGGTTAAGTTTTTGAATTTTTCGGTCGATAAAAATGGTTGATTATTGAAAATAATAAACCAAAAATACAGAAATTCTAGCAAATTAAATAAATTAAAAGTAAAACAAATAAATAGATATAGAAAATAAGAAAAAGATTCATACTTAATAAAACAATAAATAAATTTTAAAAAATAAAGAGAGAGAGAAGTGATAAACAACAGTTTCTAACGGAGGTTGAAACTTTTATATACCTATTTTTAAAAAATTCAATTTAACTGTTCATACTGTATTACTTTTTAGATAGAAAAATCTTAGAATAATAGTTCTAAGGGACATTTCCAACTATAAAGCCATGAGTCTCCAGCATACTAGTTACAGTTAACTGAGCAGTAAAGCAAATTAACTGTGTTTATAGTTTGTAATATTCCTTTCATTATGACTTTTTTCGAGCTTTTTGCATATTTTAGTAGAACTAAGGAAGTTTTTTTACTTCCACTTACCTATAATTCACTTAGCTCTATCCAGTCTTCCGACGGCAATACTTCCTAGGTGTATTCATTTTTCGAATCTTTCCAACCAATATAAATAATACAAAAGATAGTTAAATATAAAATATGAAAGAATTTGATATGTAACTAAAGGAGAATTAAGAGATCGTAAAAGAGAACAGTTGTAATGAAGGAACCAAAGGGGTACGAGAGTTCACGCGAAGATTAAAATAGGCTTCCATAGTAACATGAGATTAATATAATATGGACTCCAACAATAATATGTACATATATATATATATGCGGATTTCCTAATTTTTTTTTGTATTATTTAATATTTAATTGTATAGATTGCAGCAATATAAATATTAAAATTTGTATATATAGCGGTACTTCCAAAAATATCCAGAATGAAATATAAATCAATATAATTTTTACTTTCATTTCCCCTTGGTCTGAAAATACTTATTTCTGCTAAGAAGACAGTGGTGAACGAAATTTGTGTGATGCGCGCACCGCACCAGATTTATCGTAATAATGTTCCAGTTTTACGGTAAAGTTTAACTTGTATTATTCGAGTTCTTAATAAAAGTTCGGTTAAATAACTAAATAAACAGTAATTGGGCTGAGATTGAAGTTATAATTTATCTTAAATGAATTAATAATAAATGATTTTAATGTGTCGTTTGTTCAATTAGCTCGGAATAGAAGTAATTTTTTAGATCGACTTTTTAATGGAATCGAAAGACATTTCAATTTTTTTTTTTTTTAATATTAGTTCTGTAAAACCTTTACCTGAAAAGTTACATGGGATAAAGTTCTAGTTTCAAAAAAAAAGTGAAAAACTATCGGAACAAAAAAAAATCCAGTGTTGCTGAGATGTTTTAAAAATAAAAGTTCGTTTTTTTTATCATTCAATCTTTGGTTTCGTATACAGAAACAAAAAAATACATATCAGTAATGAGAAATAAAAAATATGTCACGTATATAAACACAGAAGTCGTTCTTAATAGCAGTTAACTTTAACAAATTTTTGACGTAGAGAATTTTGATTTTCAGCATAATTCTCTTGACAATAAGAACAATAAAGTCAAGATCCTAAAAAAGCGCACGAACAGATACGCATATATAGAATCAGAGAGAAAATTTAGGTTGATATTACAAATATGAAAGAGAAAATAATTAAATATCCGTTTTAATTATGAACAAAATGTTCCGTAATTAAAGTCATATATTTAAAGAGGTGATAGCATACCTCAAGAAGTACAGACCACTTTCTTACTAACAAAGATCAGATTTTGGACAGCAAAGGATACAATTTAGCTTTTATTTGTTTATTGTTACATAGAAAGCGATAACTAAAATAATATCTAGTTAAATCAATGAACGATTCCTCAGTAGCGAACTATATAAATACTGCTTTTAAAGAATGTAGAGTTTGTCTTTGTAGAAACCATTTAAATGTGACTTTTAATCGGCTAAACTATGGTCAGTTGTGTTTTTTAAAATGTCATTGATTATTCGCCGATTTCTTACGTTACCCTTCAGCTGGACTACAAATATCCCTATTTTAGGCCAAATAATTTTCTATATATTATAATCAAGAAATAATCAAGAAGGAAATAATTATCTTACACAACGATAAGTGAATTTCCACTTATTCGGTAAGCAACCTCAACTTAATTCGTATGCATTTAAAGCTTATTAAAGATGGAAGGTTTTACAAAATTATGGTATCCGTAGTCCTGTTGAAAGATGACAAAAAAACAACAACAAAAAACACCGAATAACCAACCTATCTCTTTAAGAAAAATATAACTTAGCGTAGTTTAGCTGCATTGAAGTCTCTTTTGGATGATTTTAATAAACACAAACTCTACATGCTTTTGAAGACAATTTTTTTTCTTTACTATCAAGCAATTTTAAATTACCGAATAAATATCTTCTTAGTTATAGCTTTCTACTTAAAACAAATAGTGACTAACTTTTAGACATAGCTTAAATTTCCTGTTTTTCTGCAGAAATCGAACCATGATTTATACAAACTTTTTTGTAGCTTAAATATACTATTAATCCTTGAAATATATTACTTTCCTTACCGGAAACCTTGTGTGTTTCATTTCATAGTGGTCATTTACTGGTGTTTTGATTCCGAAATTCTTACCATTGTTTTTTTAAACATTTTTTCGTGATAATTAATTCCTCTTTTTCTCAATAATTTTCATTGAAATCAGTTCAGTTGTTTAGGAATATCTAATAAATAGTTTAGCTCCTATAATTTAGCATACAAATACCCTTCCTATTTTTTTCTAAATGAAGAGGTATTCATTTCAAAATTTGCAATTATTAAATGATTATTATAATTTTAAATTCCGTATCCTTAGTATATTCATTATACCATTGTATGTGTATATGTAATACATTGCAGTAATACTAGAGGGAATTATGCATATTTAACATTTTTATAATTTTGTTCTAGGTTGGTAAAGAAATAAATCTCGCCACAGTAAGTTCCAGCTTTTAGTATTAGATTTTAATATTTAATAAATAATGTATTTAACGAAGTATATCGAATATCTGGTTTTAAATCAGTTTATAATTACTTTAAAATAATCAAATATGATTTTTCCTTATCTCATATTACGGATGTCCCTGCTTGGTTTCTCATTATTTTTTAAAGAAAAGTTGATCACGTAATATAACTACTTAAAATGTATAAAAATATATTTTGCACAAATATATTCTTTTAAAAATTAATATTCAGAAATTCTTAATGCACTAATGCTAGAACTTGTAAAATGTTAGAAAGGTTGTACATGTTTTTCATCAAATAAATGAATTCAAATCAAAATTTGAAATGATATTTCTAAACAATATTTCAATATATCAGATCAAATATCTAGTTTCTGATAATTCATTTAAATTTGTGATTTCTTATTAAATCTATTAACTAGTGGATAAAATGTAAAGAGTTGCTCTTTTGTAACAATGGACCAGTGTAATATTATTTACATTCTAAATTTGTAAAGAACAATTTTTGTTTATTGAATACTCGATGGTTGACCGCAGAAAATAATTGAGGAAGTGGACGATCCATGGTGGTGGTTACAAAAATACTTAAAATGGTAAAAAAAAAAAATTGTATTAATAATATCATTTTTTCACTATTCTAAGTCTTTGTGTGACCGCCACCCCGGACCTCCTTCCTCAATTTTTGTTTATTTAATATTTGTTTAATAAAATTCCATGAATCTCAAACATTATTTTTTTCTTGTCTTTAAGATTTTAGACAAAATCTTAAATCTGAAATTGATGAATAAAATTATTTGTATGATCTTTGTGTCCCTTGAAGTATTATCTACAGAAAACAAAGAATATTAGTATAGTTTGTTCTTGTCATAATTTCGATGTTGTTAACTTTCATTTCTTAGTTCTTTTTTCTCCATTTTTCTTTATCATTAGAACTTTAAAAATACTGTAGTATCTTAAGAAGTTTGTGAAAGTGAAAGAGGTATTCTTTTTTTTTTTTTTTTTTTTTTTTTTTTTTTTTTTTTTTTTTTTTTTTTTTTTTTTTTTTTTTTTTTTTACTTCATTCATATAGTAACATAGACATATAACTGTCTTTTCGCTATTATTTTTTATGATTTTGCTGTAACATCCAAGTCCTTAGAAAGCATAAGGGGAGTTGATTTTCAGTTATATTTTTATAAATTTAATTTAAACTCTAATAGTTTAATGGCTACGTGATGGCAGTGACGAATTACTCCCAAAATAAAAAAAAAATAAAAAATACCATTTATTAAGTATCGGAATAGAGTTATTTAAAATATACTTTCTGGTAATAATACTCGTGAATAAAGTGTCATTCATTAAGTGGCAGGAGGCACTGGCGGATCCAGGATTTAATTTTGGGTGGTAGCTTCAGCCCGAAAGATTTTTTTTTTTCATATATATAACGATAATTAATTTGAAAAAAATAAAGAAATTAACTACTTATATGAAATGTTGTTTAAGCGATTCTTAAAGTTTTATTAAATATTATTACACGAACAATAATACTTTAAGATATATTTTTTAATATTTTTTTTCTATAAAACATGATTATACTTGACCATTTTGGGGGGGAGGGGAGGGAGAAGTGACCAATCCGAAAGCTCCCCCCGTACATCCGCCTGTGAAAGGAGCGATATAAAAAATTGCTCGCCTTGTGAAAAATTCATCATTGCACAGGCTTCATTTGAATCATTAACTTGTCTTTGTCTACGACGATAAGTTTTAAATAGTTCGGTGATTAATTTATTTCAATATCTCGCATAGATAGTCGCCACCTGATAGGCATGTTTAAGTCAGTTATGGTGGTCAGTAATTTACTTTAAAATCGAGACTAGAGTACGTACGAGTACAAGAAAAAGAGAAGTATGTAAAAAATGAGTACGTATGTGTTTGTCGATAGTTAGTTGACGTTTGTCGGTATTTGAAGTTCTGTTGCTTACCTATCAGGGAACAATTCTTATAAGCCTTTAGGCTCTAAATATAGTCATTTTTGCTTAACTGTAAATCTGTGAGACGTATGCCCATATGGGTTTAAGTAGATGTGTGTAGGTATTAAGTTTTTATCTTATTTTCAATTTTTATTTGGAAAACGCGATTACAGTATTTTCAATCTATTGCTTAAAGTCTTTCTTTTCATTGTAACGTGTGGGTCCCTTTAAATATTTTAACGTAACCAATTTTCGGCGGTAATTCATCACTTCTAGCTTAGAACTTTTTTTCATTTCCTAAGAAGCTTCATTCCCTCGTTCTTATAAAGGAACTTAATGAAAAAATATTATCCTGTTGGTTAATAATAAGTTTATGTTTGAAAAAAGTTATAAGGTTTTATCATTTAAGTTCTAAACCTATTTAAAAAAAAAATACTTTTGTCTTATTTTTTTGTCCAAAACCAACATTTCAGAACAAAATAAATGTCATAATTGTGGACAAATTTAAATGTATATGAATATTTTAGCGTATATATTCTGATTTATGTATTTTTTCATACGAATCATGTTGCATAAAATATAGCCCAGAAAATTTGGCTAAAAATATAAACAATTTTCAATTTCATTTTTTTCTCTTTTTTTATTTTGATCCTGAATAATTTAAAAAAAAATAGATAGAAGAAAAAAATCTCAGGTCGATATAAGAGTTTTCTACATTTTTTATTTTCTCAATTTCTGGGTTGTTTATTATATTTTGAATTCTTCTATTTCTAATATGTTTAAAATAATTTGTAGTGATATTTGCAATTCACAATGTAACCATATCATTTTCGTACCTCGATTAGCAACCCATTAACAATATTATTTTTTTCATTATGGAAAAGAAGTATCAGTGGTGATAAGTATTTTGTTTTTAATTAGATAAAGTCTCCATGTATACTACGTTTATTTATCTTTTCGATGGTAATATTTTTTCACTACGGCATCTCATTTTATCTCTTAAGAGATGTCCACGTAGGTGGCATATGAAGTCTTCATTTGAAGTCAAGTTTGTGGCGTACCGTGGAGCTTTAGTTATATTTCTAAAAGTTTCTGTCTAAAAATTTGTTACTAATTTACCTATCTTGTCCACATAACTGTAAAGTGTAGGTCCAAATGGGCTTAAGTAGATAAATGTGAGCGGTTAAAGTTTAATTTTGAACATATTGGAAGAAGTGAGTAAAATAGGTTTAATGTTTTTCATTTTTTCTTGATATATGAGTCATCTGTCAAATGTCAGTCCAAAATATTTATATTTATTTTTTTTACCTTACCTGGATGTGAAATATATAGTAAGAGAATGTATTGCGATTATGAAAATTTTCGAATCAGAGCTCTTAACATATTTTATATCGTTTGTAATTTTTACTTTAATTTTCATTTCTCTGAAAATACCTCTTTCTGATAATAGATGGTTACTGAAAGTTGTGTGATGCGCACACACACTAGTTTTTTTTGGTAATGCGTGCATTGCCAAGATGAATAGGAGGAAGAGTTTCAAGTCGAAGAGTCAAATCTGTTGGGATTTGTCTTATTTGAGGCCAATTTCGCACCAATAATTGAGTCACTCAATTTCCCTTTAATTTTCTATCGCTCTTTGTTTTCTTTTCTTTTTTTTATAAAATTAGTTCACTATTTGTTTATATACATACATATGCCCTGTAATTGGTCATATGTATGTATGAGAAAGATTTGTAGTTAATACCTTCCCTTTCCATACCCTGCTTTCTCCCTCTTTATAGGCTTTTGCTTGCTATAATAACATGATTTAGTTTATTGATTAGTTTTACTTTAATTCTGTTTATTATTTCTGTATAATGTGAAGTCAAGTTTTTTATGTAGATTTATTATTTATTTTTTTTTAGTGGAGTGTGGATGATTGCCAATCCTTTTCTATTAAATATCTGTTATTTGTGGGTTGTTAAAGTTATAGAAAAGTCCATGGGACGCGGCACACCAAAAATTTTTGTAAATAACTGCTATCTTGATGGTTTTGAGGATGAATAATTTATTTATTTTATTTTAACATTTTATACCATTTGCACCTGCGTTTCAACGCACCAAGCAAATTTGCTTTATTAGGCATCAGCTGCGAGGGGGCTTGATTAGCTTCAGTTTGTTATTATTGTAGGAGCATGCCCCTTGGCCATTTTCTTTCTAGTCTGAGTCGATCAGGTAACATAGAGCAGGAAAGAGAAAAGACTAATTAATTGATGTGGTTTAGAATTAAAGAGTGAAATTAAGAGTATTTGTCGTGGATGTAGGATTTTACTGTTGGGATATTTAAGTCGTTATGTATAGTGTTAGTTGAAATATACTGTAATTTTTCTTAGAATTTTTCATCGTGTTGTTTGTATTTTATTTATGTGTGTTTGTTTTGCCGAACCCCTAAGTTCTGCTCCCTATGTCCAAATTGGTCTCAGTATGGTGTTGTAGTTCAGTAGCTTGTTTCGTAAGCCAAGTGAGGGTCTGTAGTTTAGAAGATGTGGACTTATACCGTTATACCGTCTGGTCAGTTGTTGTCTTTTTAATTTAGTATGTAAGTTCCAAGTAAGTCTTTTGTCTAAGTTGAGTCCGAGGTACCGTACATAGTTTTTTTAAGGCACTGGGTCAATTGTCATGGTCATGAGTATTGTCAATCGTTATGGTTGGTTATGAGGATTTTCTAAGAAAGAAAGCCACGTGGATAGATTCGTTACTATTTATTTTAATTTTCCATTTTCAAACCATTTGTGAAGATCGTAGAGGTGGTTTTGAAGAGGAAATTGATGCGATAGTAGGATTTTTATGAGGATGAATGAATGAATAATGAAACAATAACTTGAACACTAATACCACATGTTTATTATAACTTTATACAACAACAAAAATATGTTCCTATAATTAATATATAAACAAAAACAATTAAAAAACACTTATAAAAAATATTCTGATTGCACTTTTCAACAGCTAGATTACAACTCCCTTTGGATTTGACAAGCCGGCTAGGACTAGACAGTGGGGCTGAGGGCAGGTCGCTTGCGGAGAGACCCTAGTGCTCATCGCCGGTCTTGTAGTGGGCTGGGTGGTGTCCATGTCCGGACTTCTTCACGACGGCGTTGAACCCGTTGTGTTTGTCGGCTTCGTAGTGGACCTCCCTCAGGGTACCATCGGCTTCCTTCAGGGTGTAGTAGCCCTTGACTTTGTCGCCGTCTCTGGTCTCGTGCTGGCTCTTGACGTCTCCGGTGTGGGGGTCATGGACGTCGTATTCGAATTTGTAGTGGGCAGGTGCCTGCGGGAAGGAAGACGATATTGGATGAAACAAGAAATATATATACAAAAATAAGCTATAATTATAATAATTATCATTAGTATGTAATTAATCAAATCATGATTCCTTCATTATCTTCAATGTTTCCTTTTTGGATTTACATATATCATATGCTGATCCAATACAAATTATCGTCGAATATATATTTATATATAGAACTTAAGTCGTTAATTTTAAAAACCACAAGCTCGATTTGAAAATAATATCTTTATAGACTGTTTAGATTGGTAGAGAAACCTGTGTAGATTGATAAAGAAAGGCTTAAAGCTGTACAATCAAGAAGTTACAAACACAAACATTAATCTACTAGAGAAACTATAGGTAATCGCTAATAGTCAGTCACAAAAGTGCGTGGACGAACTTTTAAGTACATTGGCGTCAACTTAAATAAATGTTTTCCCCCGAACAAAATGGTGAGTTTGTATAGATCGAGTTGCTAAAAACACCAGCATTTACTTAATTGTCTGAAAAAAAGTACGTTTTAGTACTGAATGTTTTCCTTTTGATAGTATACACCATACCGTTTTCGTAAAAAGTTGAATAATTACAAAGCTATCAAACTGAAGACTCTTTATGTCAAAGCAGATTTTTTATTGAAAATCATAAATTATCCTCGGCCATGATTAAGCAGCTGTGAGCAAAAATGGACAATAAATAATATTACAGGATTTGAGGAAGTACTTCTATTCACTGCCTGAAATAATCCCTGATTTTAAAATCATTATAGTTATTTTTTTATCATTTTTTAAAGTATTGTAATTGAATAATAATGAAAACATAATAACAAAATACAATTAACAAATGATATTTACCTTTTGCTAAGAATGATTTTTTGAAATTATCATTTATTCCAATTATTTTTATTATTATTACCGTTTGGGGGGGGGAGGGAGAGATTTTATATTTAATTTAACAAGTGACCTTTAAAAATATTTCTTATGGACGCAGAAATAATCCATATAAGGGTCATCCTGACAAATTAACGAGCAGAATTTAAATAACTTTAATTCTTACGGGTTTTACCGAAAGATTTCTTTAATACTTCTAAACATTTCGGGGTCTGAAGTGGTCTCTGTTCAAATTCAACCTATATAGGAATAATAATTTGTAGTGAATTCATGGGATAAATTTTAGCCTCTTCAGATGAATATCGTTCGGGTAAAGTCGGCTGGAGTCGACTAATTTAGGTATGTTTGCATATGGATTAAAATATCTCAAAAACTAAAATCTGCATTTTATTAACGAGTGAAATGTCCATCATTTATTGGCCAGAAATAATACCTCCTCTTTGTAACGGGCTATTTTTAAAAATTGTATCTTAACCCGATCCTCTATTAGAGAGGAAAAAAAAATACTGTTGAAAACAAAACGATAGAGAGTTTTATGAAAGATGTGGATTAAAATATCTCAGAAACTAAAATTGTGCCTGTAACCATACTGTAAACGAGGGAAATGTACAGCATCCCATCCTCTTTGTAATGAGCTATTATTTATAATTTATATTTTATATTATTAATCTCGCCTTGTTGATGATTTCACTTCTATCGTGTGGTCTAAAACACACAGCTTAGTTTTTTTTTGTTTTTTTTTAACATTTGGAGAAGTTATCTTACGTGGACAAACAACTGAATATGAATAATTATTTACAGCGCATTTAATAGCATTTCTGAACTATTTGTTGGAGATTCTATTCAAAAGTGAAACTACTCACTCCGAAGCACACGTTTGTTGCGAAACGACTGTACCTCTCGTTACACTTAGCTGACTTCTCAGTTGCGTCTCCCGCGGTGCGTAGAGGAACCGGGAAGGCGGTTGCAGTTGTTCCTCCACGATTACATGGAGACCCTCTTGTTCGTCGAGCATAAAGATCGTCCATCCCTTAGCTGTCCTCCTCCCTCCCCCATCTACCCTCCTTATGGGATCAATTACACAACGGATCTGCTATACGCTCCCGTAATGTCGGTTTCCAGTGGATTTCACGGCTCGGGCAGAGTAGGATTCTTTCGAAACAGCAAATGTCTTTTCTTTATCTCGCGACAATAACACAAAAAGAAAAAAAAATAGTTTCCCAATGATAGCTTTCATTGGGTTGGTGTAAGGTTGAGAACGTTGCCCAGGCCTCCTGGATTAAGTAACAAGGTGCGCTACAATCGGTCCACAAAGCCTTTTTATTATCTGATTCTCCATACTTGAGCCAACATAAGATAAAGGTGAGTGGGAACTAATTTTATTACTCAAAGACACTTTGTCGTAACCATAAATGAAAAATATAACATTACATTGATTATTTTATCTTTGGTTTCATTTATGGTTATGAATCACATGATTGCAAATCTCGATACTTTTATTAACTTTCAAGGAATAATTTAAATATGAAATTATCTTTATTTTATTGAAGAACGGCTTATAAGATACTAAATATGGAGAGATATTCGATTTTGCTAAAATTAAATATGTTTTTATTATAGTTTGTTAACTACTTGATATATTTTTATTACGATAATGACTTTAACTATAATAATAAAAATATTGAATTTTCAAAGCCTATTTTGTTAGTTTTATAACATAATTTATCATAGTTTCCTGTTATTATTTATGTGAATTTTCGTGGTCATTTATTTTATACCCTTTTTTCATATCAATTATTTGTCATTTGTATTATATAATCTTTAGTGTAGACAGACAATACTCGTTACGGTTCGTGGTTAAGTAAAAAAAAAAATGTGAAATTAAGATAAAACAGATAATTCGATACAGACGTGACTTCAGCTTCCATGAAATATCTTTATCTCGTATTATTTATTATAACTCTCTATTCGCTGTTATTGTAGTGTTTTCACTACCATTGGTTTGTTTTTATTCTTTTTTTTATTTTTAATATGTATAAATTAGGTTTTTCTTAAGATTAATAAAAATCAGAATATACGATAGATATATTGTACATATAACAACTAATATACATGATCGTGTAATGTGAGTATATAGACAAATAGAAACAACTGGCTTAATGATTTTTTAAAAATATTTGTATCATCATTCTATTGCCATAATCTCACAGTTCATATAAAACGAAATTTATTTCCGATCATAGAATATTTGAATATATTTATTTATTATTGACAGTTATTTAATTTTTTCGCTTCAAATCCGCACCTATCATTAATTAATTCCACATTACGGCTCCTGGTTAGTAAATTTCTTCCTAAGCTGTGGTACATATTACAATACGTGTCTTACAATTCACTTGAAGGTAAAAACAACCAACTACTGCACCAAGTCTTCTTAGACACGAACTATCTACTAATGGTTATAAGTAAATATTCAGGTGCGTTCTACTATAGAATTAAAGACAGGGTAATTTCCTAACTCAATTTTTTTCTTTTTTTTTTTTTTTGTTGATTTTTTAGAATGAAATAAACTTTTATAATTTAAATTTAAACCTTCTCATAAAATTTAAATAAAAAACTGTTTTACAGTTCCAAATTTTTATAAAATCAATCCTGACCCGTATCGCCGCCAAGCATTGAGGGTTTAGTTTTAGCCATTCCCTTTCAATATCAGCCTTGTCTATCAGATAAAAAAATGAAAAGAATCATGACAATTTCTTTTTATGGTAGATGACAAATTTTCGTTTTTTGAAGGGGAGGAGGACTATTTTTTCTTGAATTAAAACTTGCATGTTTCTATTATAAGAACATTAAAAGATTATTTTTAGTTCTGATTTGAATTGAACTACTTTCAATAACCTGTTCCTTGCAATAGGTTACTAATTACTGTTATTTTCTAGTTAATAGTTGTTATTATACTGTTACTAATATTCTTAAATACCAATACACTTACGTGATAGTCGATGTCGTGACCGTGGTGTCCTCCATGATGCCCGTGGTCGGCATGACCGCCCTCGTCTCCATGACCTCCATGACCGAACCCAAAGTCTGCTCCACCTCCTCCGTGGGTCGGGTAAGACATGGTAAGGCCGATCATGGCAACTACAACTGCTAAGCTCAGAGTCTATGGACAATAGCAAAATATTTTAATGGTTTCTCTTTGGTTCCGTCTCGTTACAGTTCGTCACCCTTTTCTTTTGGTCCGGTTACATTTTAAAGTGTTACATTTTATACCGTTACCTGTCATTATCAAGGATTATTGCGATTATTTTACTTTTTAAGTCTTAATAGTTATTTACTTATCCTTGCCTTATTTAAAAAATGTGAACAGTTTCTTTTTTTTTTTAAGTTATTTTATAATACCAAAAGCATGTTATTGTTTATTACTTTTTTTGAGAGAGAGAAGCAGAGTAAGTTCGTTTTTCTTTTTTTCAAAATGTGCTATTGGATTTTTCCTTGTGTCGCTAAAGTTTCTTGGCAAAATCTTATAATTTTGTGGTCGTGAAACAAGTTATTGCCGATGATCTGGAGGATATCATTCCCCCAGGTGTTGTTGAAATTAATTTCACGATTTTTTTTTTATCATTCGTGAGTATGAATAAGCACATCATATGATTACGTATTTGTAAAAAAAAAATGTTACATTATAAAAAATAAAGAAACGAAAACTTAAGAGAGAATATTTGATACACTTTTTTTTTTTTCATACTGAAATAATTATATGAGAAGAGCTAATTTTGTCATCGTTTGATTTTTTATTTCAATTTTGTTTTATTATTACTGTATTCTAAACTTTATTTTGCTATTTAATCTCATATATTGATCAGATAAAAGATTTGATCTTTGATTATAAAACATAAAGAAATTTTTAAAGTGCTTAAAAGTAAGATTATCGTGGACTAGGTAACTGTTTGCAGAATTAGCTGTAGTGAATTAATTTGAATAATCAGTAAGAAAATTAAGTTAAATATGTATTTACTTTGTACGAGATATTTACGTGAAAATATTCTGGATTATCTCTGTAATTAAATTAGCGACAGTTACTTAAACACTTTTTTAATTTTAAAAAAAAAAAGATGTACTCTTCATCATAAAATTATTAGTAATTTCTCATAATTTCTGACAGAATTATAATATATTTATATTTATCATTGTTTTCCCCTCTATTCCAAGAAATACATTGGTTTCCAAAACAATATTGCAATTTAATTTTAATCCATGAGATGTAAACAAGTGTATATTGAGCGTAATCAATTGAAAAGTAACCAATTACTACATCTGATTTATTAATTATTTAATTTTAGTGATTAACTGTGCAACATTAATTCAATAATGGGTGTTTAACGATCATTTAATTATGAACTGTAATTAAATAAATGGACTTTGAATTTAATATCAGTCGAAACTTATATACGATTTTAACTTCCAAAGTATAACTTACCTTTGACATGTTGCTGTTGTGTTTTGAGATTGTGGACTAGAGGAAGAGATGTGTAGTGAACTGAAGAACTCACTGGTTTTTGACAGTTGTTGGACACCCCTCAGTATTTATACTCGGCTGCAGTGCGACGTAACTCCTTGGAGGGGGTGGCTGCCGCCCGTGTTTCCATCCCCACCCCCGAGGGGGTGGTAACGAATTATATCAAAAACTATGGCTTATGGCGAACCCGAAGACCGCAGAATGTTTTCCAGTGGTTATGCTGGAGTGGAGTTGAAGCCCTGGAAGAAAGAATTGTCAAATCTCACTCGCCCATCGAACAGCCAACTGTTGCCAGTCTCTTCCAGTCTGTCAGCGGAGTGTTCGGTCTCACGTGGTGGTGTTTTATTTCGTCCAACTTGGAACTTAAGTTTTAGTCTTTACGTATAGATATGTTCTTATTTACTTTAGCTCTAGATAAAGGTAATGTAAGAGACCCACGATATGTCTGATCCACTCAAGAAATATTTGTTCAAATATTAAATGTCCCAGCCTCGAAAAAAAGATTTTATGTATAATTTTTATAGATAGATAAATGTAGATGATTGAATAGATGAAAAATAGATGTAGGTGATTGAATGATTTACAAGTATATTTTTTCTCAATTATTTAAAATAATAATCAAAAAGTTTTATTCTGTAAAAATGTAACTATCATAACAAATTTTATCATGTATATTTGCTCGTTTTTTGGGGGGGATTTTACTAGATCATATATTTTTGCATTAAGTATTAATTTGTAAAAATAAGAAATTCATTACTATAATTTGAAAATATATTAAAAATCTGATAATTACCGAATTCGAAGTTCTGACTTTTTACTAAAAAAATGCAATTTGAACGACTTTTTGATTTTGTTTGAAATCATAGAAAAAAAGTTAGAATTTTTCTATAATTCTTGTATTAACTTGCATGAATGTAATAACGCTTTTAAAATTTATAGCTGCTATAGTTAAAAAAATTGAAATGATTTTTAAATAATTCATTACTTATCAAATAGTCCGTAGTACGAAAACCTTTTTAATAAGTTATTAACATCCGTCGAAAACTTCGTGAGTCTTTTCGAAACTTACACCATTTTTATTTACAAAAAATCTCGAAAATGGAGCGTTTTCAATCTAGGGTTCGGTAAACATTTTCGTTTTATGAGGTGCTTGAAAATTCATATACATCCATCAGGTTTCCACTTGAATGGTAAGATAGTTTCATTTAAAAATCTAGAATATTGGTGGCTTACAAAAACACGGGACTATTCGGTGTGAGCTCCACTCCCAATATGTCAAAATAATTAAGTTATATAGGCCAAACGGTCTAATATTTTTGTAGGACACCCTTTTACTCCATTATGTTATCAAGTCATCTTACTATTCAAGTGGAAAGCTATTGAGTATTCATGAATTTTTATTACGTTATTAAATTAATTAATTTAAGGAGAAAACGCTCCATTTATGAGAACTTTTTTAGTTACATGTTGGAGTTTACGATAATATAATTCGTAAAGTTTTAGACAGATGTTAATAATGGCTATTAATTAGTTTAATTTTTGTATTGTATCAGCGAGGGAGGCAATCTGACTCGGTAATTGTGATTGCGTTACAGAAAGTTTTGTTTAGAACCAATACGTCCTCGAAATATAATGTGTTTGTTAAACTCAACATAAGTAGCTTTACCGGTTTTATTCTAAAGATTCTCAATATAAAACTTCCGTTTCTTTATTAAAGTTGTTTAGAAGTCATTATAAGTATAAGTTATATACATGAAAAAAAAGCCTTCGGGCTGAAGCTCCCAAAATTAAATCCTGGATTCGTTAGTGATTACGACTAATAGTTTTCATTCAGACAATATACAGAGTGTGTCAGTTCTTGATAGTCAAACTATCAAAAAATAACCTATGATGGGTTACTTCAGAGAACATTTTTAACAAAAATTTCATTTGATGCATGACCGAATTCCGAACAGAAAAGGATTTAAGGACAATCTGTTTTGTTTTTCTTAAGAGGTTTTTTATTGAATAAGAAGTAATTGCTCAAAAACTGCCCAAGGTAATTATATTCTAAGTTCACTACCGTAAATTATACAATTTTTCTTAGAAAACAATGATCAAATTTAGGTCAATGATAAACCTGAACGGTCTAAATACGACCGCTGTACTGCTTTAGTTACACTAACCTAAAGCATAGCTATGTAACCCCGATTCGTGAAATAATTCGGTATAATGGTAGATATGGGCAAATGCTACTCACAAATGAGTACTGATTCCCAAGTATTTTACTCAAATACTGACCTTTTATTATGCTCCAAAGAATTTAATTAATACTTCAGTTGATGATAAACGATTAACTGAAGTAGTTATTGAATCCACAATAGTGATTCAATTTGAGTAAAATATTTGTTGCTCGGTACTCGGAGTAGTATTTGCCCATTAGACCTTCTTATTCAATAAAAAACGTGACCACTTTAAGAAGAACACAAAATAGGTCTTAATTAATTTTCCGTCCGGTATTGGGCCATGCATCAAAAGAACTTTTTTGTTGGAAATTTAGAATCACACCCTAATTTGACCATTAAGAATTGAGAGTCCTGTATACATAAAAAGGGAAATAAATAAATAAAATTTAAATGTAATAATAAATAAAAACATAATAAAATAAATAAATAAAAAATAATAGATTTGAAGTTAGGTAAAAATAAAAGTCTGGATCCCATCCCCAGTGGCATTATGGGCAATGTAAAAGCAGACCAAGCTGTTCATTTGACGAAGAAGAGAGAAGTATCAGGAATAACACCAATAAATGTCATCACCGTTGAAGATTGGATACACGAGACAAGAAAATTGGGAAAGCCAATGGAAAATACAACGAGCCAAATTAACAGAAATAAAAATCGAGTGCAATACTTGGGCTACAAGCTCCAGAAAATCGAGAAAGGAAGAAATAATATTTACCGAATGCGAATTGGACACTGTCTTTTCATTCACGGATACCTTCTTAGAGGTCTCAAAGCGCCAACCTGCCTAAAGTGTGACAACTCACCTCAGACAGTTAAACATTTGTTACTAGAGTGCCCAGAATATGAAAAAAAGAGACAAAAGGTTGTCCTCGACATTGAAAGATATTTTGGATGACAAGGAGAAAGATGTCATCATTCTCTTTCAATATTTAATGGAAACAAATTACTACAACAGAATATAAAAATTAAGAATTACCGCCAATGACCCTCTCAATGAGGCAAATACAAATTCTAAAATAATAAATAAATAACAGTCATATTATGACATAAAATAAAGCGACCAAAACGATGTATGGATTTACAAACTTCGTTTCCATCGAAAATTCTTATTTTGCATTCCTATAGTGCTTAATTAATATGTTAAAACTTATCGTTCGATTAAATAAGTTTAGATGATGGTGCCAAAAACATTTAATCAAAACCAACATTTACTTAATATCATGCCAGCTATTTCTGTAATATCGTTCTACTGCTAAAATATTGAACGGTCTTGTCTTAAAAGAGTTGATGCCTGCGAACTTGCTGTATGCGAGGAAGATTTACAGAACTAATGAAGAATAACTAATTTTTTCCCGTTAATTGTTATGTTGCAGTTTTATTAGTTATATTGAAGTATTTGTGCAAATAATAAACGATTAAGAAATGCTT